TGAAGTAGAAATTAGATTTGGTATTCTGAAAATGGAGAAACTCCTCCTAATGAACGTTTTTTAAATGAATTATGAACCCTACACGGCTACACCAACGCAAATTAAAATTAGTCGGGTTGATTTCTGGATATGTTGGTTACACACACGAAAAAAAAAAAAGATTTAGCATCCCACGACGGGTCACCTAAGTATAAGGCATACCAAATTTTGTTCATCTAACTTCAACAAACCTTGCCAAAAATGTGTAACACTTAGTACTACTACTATTGACTTTCGATATAATAATGGCCATTTGGCCACCTATTAAATGGCCAACCGTCTCCTCCTAACAATAAATCCAATAGTTATTTAAACTCTCATAGCTCTGTCCCATTCTTCCAGCTGTGCCCAACCACGTGCAATAGATTGTGCTAATATTAAACCCCATCATTGTACGTAACGCTCAAAAATCCAATCTTTAGATCTATATTTAGCTGCACAAATCTTGTACTGTTTCTGTTCCACTTGCACATCACACAATGGATACTTGCATCTATCATCAGCTCAAATCTCAGCCCATATGGCTTCTTTTTCTTCTTTCTTTAGGTTCTTCAAAAATTTTATGCTTTTCTCTCATTATTCTCAAATGGGTCTATGTTAATTTCCTTAGACCGGGTAAAAATCTCAAGAAATATGGGTCGTGGGCTCTTGTTACTGGACCAACTGATGGTATTGGAAAAGGCTTTGCTTTTCAATTAGCAAGAAAGGGACTGAATTTAGTTCTTGTGGGTCGTAATCCTGATAAGTTGAAAGATGTTTCTGATTCAATTAAGGCTAAGTATGGACAAATCCAGATTAAATCAGTGGTTGTTGATTTTTCTGGTGATTTAGATGAAGGGGTTAAGAAGATTAAGGAGATAATTGAAGGGTTAGATGTTGGTGTTTTGATTAATAATGTTGGGGTTTCGTATCCTTATGCTAGATTTTTTCATGAAGTGGATGATAAATTATTGGCTGATTTGATTAAAGTTAATGTAGAAGGGACTACTAAGGTTACTCAAGCTGTTTTGCCTGGTATGTTGAAGAGGAAAAAAGGTGCTATTGTTAATATTGGTTCTGGTGCTGCAATTGTTATTCCATCCGATCCCCTTTATGCTGTTTATGCTGCAACTAAAGCGTAAGTTTTGCACTCTTTAGCTGCTTTTATCTGTTTTAATTCTCTTTTGGCGATTCTAATTTATAAGATTTTAGATTGTAGTTAGTTTTGAGGGTTCATTTTGGATTGAATTGTAGCAAAATGATTGCACCTTAGGTGAAACTTAGGAGAAAAAGGTAAAATTTATACATAAGTTGATAAACTTTAAAGCCATTTAGAAATTGGTAAAAGTATTTGCATATAAACTATAAGAGTTGATATTCATGTTAATGTACACACGCAAAATAAAACTAGTGTTATGGATGGAGGTTTCTTTTCTTTTTTTTCTTTTTTTAATTCTCGTCCCCTTTGATCCCCTTTTGTTGGAGTTGTTGCTCCTTTGGTGACTCGAACCCACGAACTTGAGGTTGTAGGTGGGGAGTACTGACCATCTCAGCAATCCCTCTTGTCGGATGGAGCGTATGATTTCATATGTGGTAGCTCTATATAAGGGGAGGTTTGAAGTGAAAAACTTGACACTTCACTTTGCTTACTGAGATGTCCTCATTTCAGAAATTTGCTGTATTATTGAATGACATGAGTCTGGATATCCTCTATTTTGCTCAAAGCAAAGTAAAGAAAGAGGACAACTTGTTCCGACAGTAAAGTTACATGAATTTCTGTAGAAGTTGAATTGATTCTGGAAAATAGAGAATGGAGTTTGGGTTACTGTACAAGGAATGACATCCGACATCATATTAATTAGTACCTCTTTGTTTTTGTTTTCCGATGAATCTTTTATATTAGTTAGTAGCTCTTATATTCTTTCTTCTCCATTGCCCTCCCATCATCCAATTTCACCTCCAAACGCTACTGCTACTACATACATACAGATATCCATAGTGGTTGTATCCCTTAGTAATTGCTCCTCCATGCACTCTTCTTCTTTGTGACCCCACTTGACCAACCAATTCCCTCTGTTGGCCTTCCTCTCCCCACAGACCAAAAAAGTAGGGTGTTTAGTTAGCAACCAGAAGCCAGTGCATTGCTGAAATTTGAAGGACAACAAACCTAAAAAGTTGGAAGATAATGCTTCCTTAAGAAATAACTTGATATGCAGTCTATGCAAAGTTGCTGCCATGCAATGTAGCATGCAATTGACAAAGATGAAAGTTGTCGCTTAAGATAATGCTTCCCGCTTATTCCTTGTTTTTCATACTGACAATGTTTTAGCAAGATGTGAATGTTTAAGCACGAAGTAGTAGTTGTTTTGTAATATTCTTATGTGCTGCGTGGATATTTTGGATATATTTTTCAGATACGTTGATCAGTTCTCTAGATGCCTGTATGTAGAGTACAAGAAGAGTGGAATTGATGTGCAATGTCAGGTATATGTTAGACGCTTTGATCAGTTGAAGCATTTTTTTTGGCTTTTTATTGTAAACCACAGTTTATCTGCTTCATCTTTTCCGTTTGGTATTTTTAAAATGACTCGTACATGACTCACCCAGTCTAATGAGCTTCAGACTCTACACACTTATTCATGTCCTGAACCGCCTAAGTAACCTCCACATATAGCATGGTCTAAGAACTTTTGCTTGACTGAAAAGTTTAAATTGATATACTATAATAATTATGAGTCTGGAACCACAGAGTCCAAATATTTTTGGATTAGGACCATAATCACTCCACATATCAGGCTGCAGTTACTATCTTTTGATCCCATTTTCTTGTCAATATGAAAGTTTTAGAATTTTGTTATGCTAGAGAACACGTCCTATACTCCTATGTGAAGATTACTACATGTGTTACATCCTAACGCCCTGGATTCTTCTTTGGTTCTTGGTACTTCAGTGGAAGGCCTTCCATCTGCTGTCTTTTGCTTCTTGAAAAATTTATTCTACAGTTCGAAATACGTTATAGGAGCATATGAGTGTCAGTGGTTGGTTGAAGAGTTTATTGTTACTAGTTATTCATTATGGATGGACATGCGAGGCTAAGTGCGTGGCAGGGGATTTTTTTTTTTTTTTAGGGGTGGGGTTGGGGGGTGGGGGGGTGGGGGTGGATGGGGATATTGTGGATATTATAACATTGAATTTCTGAGTTCCTGTCTGTTAAGATATATATAAATTAGAATTCCACCTACAATTTGCCCTATTAACATTAGTATTAAGAGTGATTCTTTTTTTTTTTTATGGTAAATGAATCTGTCTGGTAGCGTCCGGTTCAACTTCATCAACATATGCGCTGAATAAGCTCTTGTCAAAGTTGGAGGACATTCTGACATCCTCCTTTACTGCTTTACATTTTCTTAATTTTCCTCTCAGTTTAAAACTGTCATATCTTCTGTAGTCAGGAAGTTATATAATGTCTACACTCTACTGAACTATTTTCACTTCATGTAACATTATTCTTCCTTCTCCAAATATAGGTGCCATTGTATGTTGCAACAAAGATGGCGTCGATCAAAAGATCTTCATTTTTTGTTCCCTCAACTGATGGTTATGCTCGGGCTGGCCTGCGATGGATAGGTTATGAGCCAAGGTGTACGCCTTACTGGCCCCATTCTCTTCTGTGGGGTTTGATATATTCACTGCCAGAGTCGATTGTTGATGCTTGGCGTCTGAAGTTCTGCATGGGAATTCGGAAGAGGGGGCAGATGAAAGACTCCAGGAAGAAGGAATAGAAAGCACCTTCCTCACCTCATCCATTATCCCAAGTCTGATTAGCTGAATTCCTATCCTCTTCTTTCTGTTCCTGTTTCCAATAGGGTAATGCTAATTCTGATAATGCAACAAGAAGGTTGGTTTTGTTCTTATCAAACAAGCCTGATCTCATTCTTGTGCGTTCTTAGCTGTAGGTTGTTTGAATCAAGAGTAGTCCAAAAGAAATTCGAGTTCTCGGATCTCTATTATGTCTAGCCAAAAGAACCATTTTCCAGGGCAAGTATATCAGATGATTCTGTTTGTATTTGTTCTTTGAGTTTGATGTTGCAGGATGAAATTTAAGCTTGGTGTTTACTTATATGAACCAATGAATACCCTATGTTTTAATACAACAGATAATTCATTGTTTTGAATAGGTTTGATAATCATATCCTCTTCTGAATATTCATTGTATCCAAACTCATTTCTCTGAGAATTGTGATATTACAGTTTTTATTGGATTTACCAGTCTTTAAGTGTTAGAAGATAATTCTTGATAATTTCGCTCACAGTTTGATTGTAAATTTTTTGACTCAACTGTCAACGAGCATATCTTACATGAATGTATTTGCTAATTTGAATTTAAAGGGTAACTAGATCAAAATATTACTCCTATGATTTATCAGATCATTTGAAGATTGAGTGAGGTTTAATACAAGTGCATGTTTTGAAAACATTGGCTAAATTATGACGATGTTACATGCTCAACCTTATTCTACCTCTAAAAAAAGGGCAGTCCGGTTACGCGCGGGGTCCAGGGAAGGGCCGGACCACAAGGCTCTAATGTAAGACGCATTACCCTGCATTTCTACAAGAGGCTGTTTCCACGGCTCGAACCCGTGACCTCCTGGTCACATAGCAATAATTTTACCAGTTACGCTAAGACTCCCCTTCAAGGAGGGGGAAAAGAAAGAAAGTTATATCTATAAAAAAGATGCTGGAAGGATAACTGATATACAGATTCATAAAGTTTGTCCAAGAAATGAAAAACTCATTTGCAGCAGAAAGTAGCTCTGGCCATAGATGAAAAATGTGTTTATTTTCTTTTTATCACCTCATAAAAGTTCAGACTAATTAAAGCTGCCAAATTTGTGCCCATTTTTCCTTTCAAGCTAAACCTGATGACTGAAAGAGCAGAGACAGATCAAAGCATACTAGTTTCTACCTCTACAGAGGGAAAAGAGAAGGAGAAAGTTTTATCCTTAAATTTAAATAGAAAGGAAGGTTACTTCTTTGGCTAATTTTACAAACAACACATGCTCATGCTAAAGCATCAGCAGAGAAGAAATCATTCTAACCTATTCCTACTACGATTCTCATGCAAATCCAATCACGTCAACATAGAAAAATAAGATTAACACCTAAACCGAAGCTACATACCAGAAAATGGTTAATGATATACACATATTATCACTGAATTTCAACATTTCTGTCAGCATCTACCAGTTGAGCCTCTTGATCATATCCATTGTTTCCGTTTCTGTTCTTGAAAGATTTATCGCTAAACATGCGAACAAACATGCTTTTTGACCTGGGAACTTTTTGAGGTCCTGAATCTTCTGATTTTCTACTATCACCGTTCTTCTTGGCTAGTTCTTCTAAGATAATCCTGATGCTACTCTCAAAGCGGCGCCTGAATGTTGGATATCTTGATATAGATTTTGTGATGCCTCGTAGTCTTCATGACAAAAATCGGGAGCGTTAATACAAAATCAGAATGCTATTAGTGGTAACAAAATCAAGATGCTATATTTCACGGATTATCACCTTCGAGCTAACGCCTCAAACTCAGCTCGCCTCAGTTCAGATTCAGGTGGAGATCCAATATTTAAATTCCTCAACCTCTCAGGATCACCACTCAACAAAACCAATTTGCCAAGGTACTCCTCTTCGCTGTCGGAAATATTTTCAGCTTTGATCTGGTCTTTGATGATCAAGAGTGGATTGAGAAACCACTCATAGAAGGTATCTCTGGGCCTGTTTGTGCTGGTTACTTCGGTACCATCATCGTCTGTATAAACAAGGTTTACATGATTAGTCCTTTTGGTATAAAAACCCCAATTCTACATTAAACAGTCAATAATTGCATATTTGACTTACTTATCAAAAGACCAGCGCTGTTGGCTTTGGCAGAACGTATAAGGGTCTGAAGGATGCAATAGGCAGGCAAACCAATGTTAATGATTTGACCACTATCTCTATTAGACTTGGCATCTTCAATGTCTTTTTGTGTAATTACTCCTTTAGATACCATGATTTCCCCATGATATTGACAGCCCGTGAATAAGCCATCAAGAAGCTAGAGTAGTAATATATGTTGAACGCAAAATTAGCACCAAATATTCACAGCCAGGTTCTGGTGAAGCATCACAAAAGCAAAATAACTATACCTCGAGGGGCTTCAATTCGACCATGGGAGCATTGATGGAGTTCGTACGAGATGGTGGATTTCTGACAGATTCAGGTCTTGAGAAAGAAGCTGAACGAGAGCTGGTTCTTGATGCAGTCTTCTTTCTGTACCGAGGCCTATATGAATACCACAGATATACAGCAACTGTCAAAATTATTTGAAATTAAATATACATTTGTCAATTATCAAAGGTATTGAGGTTAAAAGGTTGTAGCTATCGGAACCTAGGAAAGCAGGATCCTTCTGGCATATCTAGCACATCATTGCTATATTCATCATATATGGACAAGGAAGCAACGATATAGCAAAGCCCCAACCAAAGAGAAGACTCCTGAAGTAGAAGGCATTGGTAAAACATTAGCAGTTCAGGAAACATATAAAACGCAAGAGACAATTTTGAAGTCCTTGAAACAAAAAGGGAACTTCACCTGATATACAACTACTCCTGAATAAGCACCGAGGAGGATACTTGCTAACATTGATCCAATGAATGCCCCAACAACAGCCATTGGCCAGAGTAAGATAGCAAGACCAGCAAATGGCACACAGATGGTCTCTAGAAAAGGTCCTTCTCGACCTATACAATCATGAAACAAGCGACGCCACCCCTTCAAAAGCATGTAAGGAAATTTGCAAGCAGCAATTACTGTGATCGTCGGTATGTCAACCAGGAGTCCTAGTGCCACGGCTACTAGTGCCAAAGGAATATAAAGCAACCTGTAATAGATCGAAAAGTAACTTCTGAGCAAAAAGTAAATCTCTCATGAAGAATAATTAACCAGCCAAACCCCCAACATATGCTTGCAGCTAAACAGCATAAGTCGAATCCACGATAATTGATGAACATTTTTGTTAAGGAAAACAGGAGACTTTTAAAAATGCTAATATCTTAAGTGCAAAGACCTACAAGATCCAACTTAAACTAAGGAGTTATAGCAAAGTACTATAAATTTCCAAAAACTACTGCATCTGTATTTCTGTTTGACACGGAGGAGATTCTGACTTGCTGATAAGTAGAATAACATCTTGTACATCTTTATTTCTATTCTGTCATAGAGCATGGAGATTTTGACTGACGGACAAGTAGAATAACATCTTGATCTCATTCCAGTAATCCTAATACAGCTAAAAAACCCAGGGGGTCGATGTTTTTCGTATTGTTAGAATTAAGAGAAACTTAATAAGTGTTTAAGGTTGAAAAGTCGGCACATGAAGATCTGCTAGTGATGAGAAAAGATACGTGCAATCAAGTACAGACGCTTACTTCCTTTTCTTCCTTTTCGTAAATTATCCCTCAATAACATTTTGATGAACTAACTTGACTCCTACTGAGTTCAAGAAATTTCTTTGACAGTGTTGTTGAATTAGTTTTTGGTAGAAATATGTTTTAATAGAATAGGTGGAAGATGTAAAGAGGTATGAAGATGCTATAAACAGTTACTATTACATACTCCTATTTAACTTTCCTTTTGTGTAGCTTGCCAACTTAGTTACAGGGACATATTTTTGGAATGAACTAATTCAAAAATAGATCAAACCAAAGGAGAAAGATGGAGTATTTAAGATGCTTTAGAGGCAGAAGTTAAAACAACAAAAAGCTGTTTTACTGTATTTCAGCACCAGTGTAGATACTTCACTAACTGAGTTCACATACCAACCAGATATCTGAAACTCTTTGATATTGAAAGATTTGACATATGATAATATACAGAAAACTTTCCAACTTCAAATGGGGCAAAAAGGGGAAAAAGAACATCGAGATAGGTGATCTGCGAAACCTGATCTCATAGTATTTTCCACCAGGAGGTCCTTGAAGTCGCAAATCATCCATGATCGAGAAGTAGGAATGGTATAAAACATCCCTCAAATCCCTAACAATAGTAAAGCTTCCTTTCATCGTATCCCAAGTCCCATCCTACCATCAACAATGAAGCAGTTAACAAACTCGATGCCAAAAGAAGAGATAAGATGTAAACAATGTAGGAAATAGAAACCACTCAAGACATACATATATACTGTGAAAGAAGGCATTCGTCTTCTTTCCACCCACAGCTTGGAAAGTGGCAAACACAGGAGAAAGGAAGCCATAAGCTGCCCCACCAATGATGCTGCTTGCAAATCCAATCAACGGCCATAAAAGTAAAATAACAATGACACATATGCTTAGCACAAGTTTTAAAGCTGGACCTAACTGCTTTGTGCTGCAATTCATCAAACAAGGTGGAAGTCACTAAAAAGTAATATCTTTAGATACATGAGGTTAACCATGAATCAAAGTAGCAAAAGAATGCACCTCCATAGACAGTAATATGTATAGAACAGGTGCACCGGCCAAAGACCCAAAATAAGGGCAGAGTTTCCGATAGTGACTATAACGAGGATCAATGGGCACAAAATTACACCTGCAAAAAGAAAGTGGCAAAAACCTGTCATTTCTCTTCATAGTCAAGGAGAAAAACTTTAGCACGATACTAACATTAATACAGAGTAATCAAGGGCGAGATTTCACAATGTAGACCACAATGGTATAGACATTTGTGGTCAATGGCTTACTTGTAAAGGCAAGCATCTTGCAAGGCCAAAGTTAAAGTTAATCTGGCAGTTAGTACTAATCATATTTAAAATCCCAGTGGACACAAAAATACTAGGTAATTTCTTCCATTTGCCCAAAGCCTTGGTGGCGCAGTTCCCCAGTACCTATGTTGGTGGGAGGTAGCAGGTACCCATTAGAATTAGTCAAGATGCGCACAAGCTGGTCGGGCACCACCGTCATTTGAAAAAAATAGATTACAAAGACTAGCATAAAACGAGGATTAACGGGCATAAAGTGACACTTGCCAAAATTAAGTGGCACAAACCCTGTCATTTATCTTTATAATCAAGGAGAATAACTTTGGAATAATAATGACATTAATACAGAGTAATCAAGGGCAAGAATTGACAATGTAGACCAAATTTGTATCGAGATTCGCAGTCGATGCCTCAATGGTAAAGGCAAAGAACTTGCAAAACCAAAGACAAGGTTAATCTGGCAGTTGGTCCTAATCATATTTGAAGGAAATAGATTACGGAAACTAGCATAATCAGTAAGTATTTAAGAATGTTATGCAATAAGTGCGGCCTAGTCGTCAATGAAGTGGGTTGAGAACCATGACGTCTTATCTTCAAATCCTAGCGGAGACAAAAATACTAGGCGATTTCTTCCCACATGTTCAAGCCTTCATGGACAGAATTACCCAGTACCTGTGCTGGTGAGAGGTAGCAGGTGTCAGAGGGGGGGGGGGGGGGTATATGCACATATGATTAGAACAGAACGAAGAGGTGCTATCCAAAAACACAGTGCCTAACAGTTGTACAGTTAAGAAAAATGTATGTTTAACCAAATTTAAGAGGAAATGAAAGAAGCAACAACGTTGAACAGTAAATAGGAGTGTAATTGAAGGAAAACCTTTCAAAACACCCAGAATAAGCAGGCCAATGAAGTAAGGCAAGAAACAGATGAAGTTCCACAAAGAAGCCAGAAACCCCCTTGGGGGTTCCATTCCTTATGCTTTTCAGCTAAATCAACAACCACTGGATCTTTATCACAAGCAATGAAACCAAAAATCTCAGTTTTTTAATGAAAAAATCTAATCTTTGTGGGGGAAAATCGAGTCTGTGAAAACTGGACGTGAAATGGAAAGATAAAGGAAGATTATGATGTGGGTTTTGAGGATTTATGAACAAAAAAGTTGGTTAACTGTCAAATATTGGGGATAATAAAGTGTGGTTACCAAATACTACCAATTGCGTTTGCAGCCTGTGAACCAAAAAAAAAAAAAAAAAAAAAAAAAAAAAAAAAAAAAAACAAACAAATTTGATAGCGTTTTGAAACTTGAAAGCAAGGTATTCAAGTGCTACTTTTTAATTATGGAATACTTTATTACTCCTATCCTTTTTCTTTTATTCTATAATATCATTTTCAACTTTGCTGAAAGGTGCAGCAGTGGAGTTCTTTTTTTTTTTCCGGAACACCACGAAAACCTACAACCGCTATAGTTTCTGTCACAATCTTTGTCAATCGGGTGAACATTCTGTGCACGGGATAAAAATCCCTCACTGTGTAATAGCCTGCAAATCACACAGGCGGAGGGATGGCAGCAGTGGAGTTCTGTATTTTGAGATCGAGACAGTTCCAGTAGCAAATTAGGTCAATTGTAGGGTGTTTCAGCGTTCAAAACATTTTAAGGAAACTTTTGGTAATGCGCGTATAATCCGAGTTTGATTTTGTAATACGACAATACAGTTTGTTTGGTAAGACTTGAAGTTCACTCACTCTAAAGCATAATTCAGAATGCAAAATGTTTGATTAATGATGTTGAAGTTGGTTGTTAAAAAGACATCGTTCAGAATATCTAAGTAAATTTAAATCAAATCATAATACAAACTTCCAAGAATCACTTAAGAACTCTGGCGAGAATTATTTTACTCACTAACATATTTGAGTGGACGTAAAATTTAAGTTATTAATTTGACTATGTATTATTAGCCGATAGTGGGAAAAAAAAATTATAGTGATTGTTTAAGTTTTTGAAAACATTATATCAGATTTTAAAATTTGAATTGCTAAATGAATTTAAATTCTTATAATTGTGAAAACATTTAACAAATGGAATAATATCGATTGAAATTGAAACATTATAAAATTAAAAGAGTGTCATTCAAAATTGAAATGAAGAAAGAATTAATATCTGAATTTTATATGTATAATTATGAGGGAGCTCGAATAATAATGGAATGTCCTAATTTGCCTTTTGACTGACTTCACTAGCGTCCCCTCAGTGAATAATACTGTAATTAGGAGGAGAGAGTTGGTTTTGATAAAAATCAAAACCAAATCAAATCAATTATATCGATTTGGATTGATTCGGTTTTATCGGGGTTTTCGAGTTTTTTGTTATATAAATATTATTTCAATTTTACTTTGTTAAATTTTTTATAAGTAATATATATTTAGTAAAAGTTTAAAAAATTGGCAAATATATGATCTATTAAAATATTCTTATGGAAAATTTTTCTTAGTAACACATGATACTTATTTTTTTGTCGTCTGAGCACAATAATTTTACGTTAATGTACACTTTCAAGGTTAACTGAATTTATTAGTTAAACATAAAAATAAATATGAACCTGCATAATGATATGTTCTATTTAATTTTAAATTATCGAAATATCATTTCAAATTCGAAATGATATTAGAATTTTGATAAATCTTGACATATGAATATGAAAGAACAAAGAGATTGACGTATTTTACTAACACTTAATAAGAAAATGATCATACAACCCCATTATTTAAAAGTAATAAATATGGAGCACTTCATATTTAACTAAATATTACCTCCCGTAAGAGAATCGCAAATATTTCTAGATATTTTTTAAAGAAAATTCTATAAAAAGTCTTAAAAGTATATATAAAAATTATATATTCATATGTCGGGTTGGTTCGGTTTCTTTTACATAATACTAAACCAAATCAAACCAAACCTAATCAATTTTTTTAATCGGTTTGGTTTGACTTTTCGGTTTGGTACGATTTTTTGGTTCGGTTTGTGCACCCCTAACTGTAATAGTAAAGTTTAAAGAAGACTAGATATAGGAAGTCGTATAGTAGTAATATACTACTCCTACTAGTAATAATGAACAATAATTTAAATAAAACCAGATAATTTAAGTCGTGATATTAATTGAGTGTCGGCAAGATTTTGATTAGTGTTTAATCTCTGTATTATGATTGTAATTTTTTTTTTTTTACATCCGTCAGATTAAGATGGCAAACAACAGCACATGCATAACATAGACGTCAAGTGATACCCAATTATAAAAGGTTAATATAAACTAACTTAAACAGGCAGCCCGGTGCACTAAGCTCCCGCTATGCGCGGGGTCCCGGGAAGCGCCGGACCACAAGGGTCTATTGTAAGTAGCCTTATACCTAAATTTTTGCAAGAGGCTGTTTTCACGACTTGAACCCGGTCCCGCTATGCGCGGGATCCCGAGAAGCGCCGGACCACAAGGGTCTATTGTACGTAACCTTATACCTACATTTTTGCAAGAGACTGATTTCACGACTTGAACCGTGACCTCCTGGTCACATGACAACAATTTTACCAGTTACGTCAAGGCTATCCATTAACATAAATCCAGTTTATATAACATAAATCCATTTGATTAACAATTTCATGTCCAGTGTAGAGGATCTCTTTTTATTCTATTCTTGAAGTATATTGGATATTTGAATAATACCAGCTATTCTATAGTATCATTCACTTTATCTACAATACCTACGCAAACACATTTGCCAACTAAAGCTACGCAAAGAATCGATTCTACTAAGCATTTTCAACTTTTGGTACTTGTACTAGAAGAATAAATTATGCTTCCAGCTTGGCTGGATGGAAACAACTCAAAAACACTGTAAAGTTTTCAACTTTCATTACAACTTTTCAGTACAATGGAACAATATTAGTGGATCAAGAATACACTTTCTAAGCTTACAGCTCTTTTATAGGTAGCAATATTAGAGGGAGGCACTGTATTATCATGGAGTGATATATGGGGAAAAAAATAAAAAGGGGCAGCCCGGTACACTAAGCTTCCGCTATGCTCGGGGTCCGGGGAAGGGCCGGACCACAAGGGTCTATTGTATGCAGCCTTACCCTGCATTCTGCAAGAGGCAGTTTCCATGGCTGGAGTGATATATGGAAAGTGCCAGATGAAAGCTGAATGCTTGAATCCAGGAAATTCCCAAAAGGTAAATTGACAAAGGCATGACTTTGCATCTAAAGTCAATCAGATTGATCTTACTATGTAGCTTTGCACAAGTGGAAAGCATATGCTCTTTGTTGAAAGCAACACAACATATAAACAATGACTTGTATACCTTTGAGTTGGGTTTTTAGGAGCAGATCCTACACACACTAGCAATATAAAATTGGGATTATAATTATCCTTTTGTCTGAGCAGTAAAAATTTCTTCCCTGTCAAAGTGTCTGCTTCTTCTAGGAACATCAGCTATATTACAGAACTCTGACAAGTTTTTCCTGATTTGCACTCTTTTCTTTTTTTCTGGTGGACGTGGGCCGAGAATGCTTAGATCAATACTCGCGCCATATGCTTGCGCAGACGATATGACTGCATCATAAGCCTTTGTAGAAAGACATAGGCCTTCATTTAGAGCCTTAGCATACAACTCATATGCCAGCCTCGGCTTGCCATCATTCACAAGTGCCTCAATTAGCATCTCATAGCTAACTTCGTTGGGTGTTATGTTTTGAGTTTTCATACGATGGAACCACTCGTACGCAACACTTCCCATACCATTTCGAGCACATCCGCTGATGATAGCATTGAACGTGACAACTGTAGGCTCAAATCCAGTGGAAACCATCTCCTTGATGATTGAATCAACTATGTTAAATTTCCCTTGGGCAGTGTAAATTGATGCCATTATAGTATAGGCATACAAATTTGGCTCAACGCCCATTTTGATCATATGTTTCCAAACCTGAAGGGCCTCATCGTAGAGCTTGCCTTTCTCTAGAGCACTGAGCAATGCTCCATAGGAGATAACTGTCGGTTTTTCACCTTTTTCTACCATTCTCCTAAAAATCTGTACTGCAGCGGATGTTTCTGAAGCCTTGGAACAGGCGACAAGCACTGCGTTCCATTCCCTACTGCTTGGTTTAAGCCCCTTCTCTTCCATCTTATTCAGCAACCTAACACCCCATCTCCAAATACCTCTTTTTTTGGCCGCGCTCAATAGTATGTTAAAATGAGAAACTATCAGTTCATATGACATGTTGTTTGGTTTTGGCCCCTTGTCCAACAAATCCTCATAAATTTCGAGAGCTGCCCACCATTTCTTCGCCTTACCCATCAACCAAATGATGTGGTTGCAGACGGATAAGCTAATCTCTGTATCCCTCTCTCTTATCCTATTATACAGTTCTTTTGCTACAACATAATGTTCTTCACGGGTACACGCCCACACGAGGCGTTCATATTCTGCACAACTAGGTTGGAGCCTAGCCTTATCCATATCCGTTAGTAGTTTCAGAACATTGGTGCTTGAGTTTTCGCCCTTTACCAGCCATTGCCGCATCACCTGGTAGCAAATTCTAATTGTGAAATTCTCAAGCTTGGGAAATTCGTACCCCCAGTTTTCTTCCTCAATATTTCCTATTTCACCATTTTGATATTTCTCTCTTGTATTGACAAAAAAAGCTATAGCGCCAAGTCCATCTTCAAGTCTCCGATAAGCGAACAAGGCAGTGGAATAAGTTGCAGGACTAGGAAAGAGTCCCTTCTTTGACATCTCTTTGAAAAGATTGAGAGCTTCAAGTTCCCGACCTTGTTCTATGTAAATTCTCATTAGAGTATTATAAGTCACAACATTAGGATCCACTCCTTCCGATACCATATCATCCATCACTTTATCAACAAATTCATACTTCCCCGCCTCCTTTATGGCGCCTAATAGACTGTTATAAATGAACACATTTAAGGTAATGGAACCGATGTTATCCTTGCTCCTCCTCCTCAACCACTTGACGAGTGCCATTGCAGAGTGTAACTTCTTATCCTTGCCAAAACCTCTAATCATAGATGAGTAAACTTGAAGTGGCAATTCTACCTTATCCTTGAGAACTTCGTCTACCTCATCTGCAGTTTTAACAAAGTGCAAGCTCTGTGCTAGAGCTCGAACGTCCACCTTCTCGCCTTTTACTCTCCCTACCTCTTCCTCCTCAATTTTAACATCACAATCATCATCATCATAATTATGA